GGGGGAGGGGATTTGGGGGAGCACAGGAGAAAACTAGGGGATATAGATCAAATAATCGATAATGAGAATTGTTGACAACTATTCTTATTATTGATTAATCGATTGGTTGGTTTCAGCCCTAGTTTATTAGTTGTGCATTGTACCTTCTGACTTTGTCTAAACACTGTAATTACAATGTATTATTTTGGCAGCATTTTTTTTTCTTTTTTCAGAAATACTGCTGTTACACTATAGTACCATAGAAGTTATACCCCTACATCCACTCCCCCACGCACCTATCCATTAACTGTAATGGACATACAATTATTGAGGTTATTAAATGCTATTTCAAGGCTTCAAAATGTAATTGCCCCCTCTCTGCCTCTTTAATTATCAAATACAATTTTGCTATCCCAAAGAGTAGACACAATTCTGACAACCTTACTGAAAAATGTCCCTATTAAGTGTTAAGTTGACTGTTAGACTTCTTCTATCCTCTCTAACATACACTGCCTGTCCAAACAAAAAGACACACACTCTAATATTTCATTAGACCACCTTTTTCTTTGATTACAGCACAAATTCGCTATAGCATAATTTCGATAAGCTTATGCATTGTCACAACATTTAATTCCATCCAGAGTTGTATTCATTTTTCACTAAGATCTTGTAGTGATGATGGGAGAGTTGGACCACTGTGTAAAGTCTTCTCCAGAACTTCCCAAAGATTCTCAATGGGGTTAAGGTCTGCACTCTGTGGTGCCAATCCATGTGTGAAAATTATGACTCATATTCCCTGAATAACTCTTTCACAATTTGAACCAGACGAATCCTGGAATTGTCATTTTGGAATATTTCTATGCCATCAGGGAAGAAAAAATCCATTGATGGAAAAACCTGATCATTCAGTATATTCAGATAGGGAGCTGACCTCATTTTCTGGGAACATAACATTGCTGAACCTGGACCAATGGAAGGGTCTTAACTATATGTTTAGCTAAATCCAGGTGGTGACTTTTGTTTGGACAGGCAGTGTATTTCAGATGAAGTATAATATCAGAATGTGGTAGATTCAATATGTGGTATTAAGAGATTATGGATATGTTCCTAACTACAAAATATAACCAGTATTAATACACTCTATCAAAAAGAATAATGTGGGAGCAGAGAAGTAGTAATGCATGCAAATGCAACATCAGACTTTTTAAACTTGCCCCTGCACTGACTTTGCTCACTAGAGAGGTTTCTCTCCTCTTAGAACTTATCAATAATATATGACTCTATAGAGCAATACTGCAGAGGGACATGTACTCTGGCACTAAGTGGTCAAATACCAGTTAATGTGCGCGCACACACACACACACACACACACACTTACTTTATATATAGATAAAGGGCAATCTCCCTATCACATGGCTGGCTCTCTCTACCAGAACAGTTGTTTCATAAAGTGGACCTGAACTCAAAACTTCTTATTCTTCCTCATTCTGTGTATTAAGCCTGATGGGTGTATTTCTGCTTTGTGAGATCATCTAAGGCAGTGGTCCCCAACCCCCGGGCCGCGGGACCGGTACCGGTCCGTGGATCAAATGGTGCAGGGCCGCCGAAGGAACATTAACTTATTTCCATTTTATTTACTGTGGTGTGTTTCTCTCGGGTTTGTCCGACTTTCCAGGACGAGAGGTTAACCGGGAGCTGAGAGACGTCACCTAAAGCCGCACCAATACCGCGCATGCGCAAAATATCGTGATATCGGGGCGGTTTTAGGTGACGTCTTGAGCTGAGCGGCTGCAAGCTGCAGTGGCGTTGTAGCTTTGGTAAAGAGAAGGTGTGCATCGCTCTTCTCTCTGTTCACCGGTACTTTCTCATGTTTAACAGTGCTTGGTGTACGTGCATATTGTGTTTGCTCAAATTTAACCCACAAATTAGCAAAAATTAGTACGAAACAGACGTTGTTAGAAAGTTTCCTTGGGAAAAAGAAAAGGCCCAGTGAAGAGACAGAAGAAGGGCCTTCAACATCAAAGAAACATGTAACTTTTAACAGACAATCCCATGAGTCCTACTTGAAATATGGATTTATCGGGACAGGTGATTCCCACACACCAAAACCGCTCTGCATAGTTTGCGGCGACCAGCTCTCTAATGAAGCAATGAAACCTTCAAAACTGCTTCGCCACTTGAACGGCAATTTTACCGCGGCCCGGCGCGGTAAAATTATCAAACGTTGACCGGTCCGCGGCGATAAAAAGGTTGGGGAGCACTGATCTAAGGCACTACCTGTGACTGCTAGTCTCATGAGATTTGGAGTGAGATTTGGTGATGTCACCACTGTGCTGCTAACTGTTCTCCTTGCTGAAGACAAAAGCTACAACGCAAACGTCTCTCTGCTTCTGCCTGATCCACAGATATGGATCTCTGTTTTCTGCACCTCTCCTGCTGCTTTTTGAATATTACCCCACCAGTCATTAGGGAGGCAACTGATATGCGGAAGCAAAGCCTTTTCTACCAAGATGGCCACCTCCACACAGAGACACAATGTAGAACAAGGCATAACACAGTAATAAGGAAATAAATCAGCTAAAGGGAGACTACAAGCAATACTGGTAACTGGTCTTTTGCCTTCCGCTTCCCTTTCCTTGGGCACAGTTGTCAAAATTCGGGTCCTTCTTACAAAGTTTCTTATGCAACCGCAAATGTAGGCATTAATAGTGTTGAGCAAAAGTGAACCGCTGCTTGAGCATTCATATGCTTCTCTCCCTCAGAGCCTCCACCATCCGCAACCACTGCCAAAATGACATATTAAAACAGCTCCACAGCACAATTCTATTCTATTTTTTCCACAAAAAAATTAAGTATCCAAAATATTGCAGTAACAACCTGAAACTGTTTTTTATATGCAATTTTAACATACAGTCAAGAATTAAGCTAAAGCTAACCTGCGGGCAAGGCGAAATAGTATTCCCTACAAAATCTGTTATGTTCTATATAAAAAGAGATATTACATCAAAATAATTAAAAGGGATCTTTGCTTTATTTTTATTCTCCTTTGTAGCTCTATTAACACATGATTCAAGCAGATGTGTTGGTTGGTAGTGTTTCTAGTGCTTTGTTCCAGCTAGGTATTGAAAAAGACAACAAGGTCCAACCAAAGCAGTGCTTACGTCATCACACAAGGCCAAGCTATTCAGCGACTGCAAGGGGTGGGTGGGTGACCGGTCACTTGACACAAAGAAGACTAGCAGCAGTGATTGGTCCACATAACAGGAAGCAGGCGGTGAAGGAGCCTTTTCAGAATATGAAGGTAATCAATTTTGTAAGCAAGGAAGGTTTACATTGCAAAAGTAGCCAGCATTACTGGTATGTCTACTGATATACCGTAGCTATTCTCTCTATACCCACTGTATGAGCAAAGTATTCATCTTTGAGGTTAAGGGTAATGTGTATATCTTTTTATAACGTGTAGAATTAAAATGAAATTATTTTATTTATTTTTTTGATGGGGGAGGCAGTTTAGTTGGTGCTATAATTTTCCACAGCCTAAAACACTGTGTCCAATTTTATTCACCAAAGATAATGAACCATCAAATCTTCACTTGTCATATGGCTGTTGAAATGATTAAAACTCACTAACTGAACCCTGATCTAAATTAAATTGTTTGCCATGCCAAACCCTACGCTAATAACTTGCTTATATCACTTATTAGAGACTAAAACATTATCATTATTTACTTGTGCAAATTAATTGCAAAGTTTGCAAGGTCTAGTTAGCTTCAGCATTGATACTGCACTACCAGTGACACTGGGCCTATCACCATCCAGTCTGCCCCTGTATAGATTATATTATACATGCAGGTATAGACTGACTGTATATTGTACAATGTGGTAACAATAACTATTCCAGATGGCTTATGTGGGTATAAATCTGGTTGGCTATACATGCAGTTTCTTTTATCTCATCCTATAACATAAGCACTGCACATTAGTGCTGCAATGCTGTACAAGCCTTGCATTTTGATGTAAATGGTGTGCTTAAGCATACCATACAGAATAACCTTGGTGCATTATTATTATAGAAGGCACTGGAAAGAAAAGACATTTTTGGTATCCCTTTATTACTAACAAAAAACAAAGCCATATAATTTTTCATGGCTGAGACACCGACATATATTTAAAAGCATTTACGATGCATCAAGGCCCTGCCTGACTTTGCTACGTGTCTCACTGGTTACTATTCTTACTGGAGTCTACGTAAACATCTTGTATCGTGTGAAGGATGAACAGTGGCATTAAAGTAGTTGGTGTGTATATAATGAATCTATCCCAAATATCTCTAGGCATAACATGACCCACATAGCGCTGTGAATATTACAAAAAAGAACATTATGCTGTGTTTCAGCTGAATTTATTATGTACATATTCATTCACATTTTTATAAAATGAGATGAGACCAGACAGTTTCCATTTGTCAGCACTGCAGGTCCCCATGATTATCCCTTTCTCAGAAAGCTGGTGTTTTATACAGTTTACCATTTAAATAGGAAGACAGAAGAGGCAATGGATCTAAAAAGATGGAGAGTTCAGTCAATCTCTTATATATCCCTATATGAGGCAGTAAATCATCTCCACATACTGTATAGCAAGGATGAGAGAGTTGTCTAATGTAATGGAGCACTGTAATGTAGGAGCCATGTCTGCTTATGAAAGCTTGATGCAATATGGCTGTAACTGTTGTTTATACCCCATCCTACTACAGTATATATTCCTCCTATAATATGGAATTTTCCAGCATCAGCCAGGTCAGTTTTCATGATGTCATGTGCCAGTAGCCCCCCACACATACTTCCAATCATCCTACACCAGGTATTGCTATGTATGTGATGCCTTGCTATCATCACACACTCTCCAATCTGGACCCATGTGACACACCTTTGTGCATCCCCCCTGAACCCCACAAATGCATAACCCACAACCCAACCCATGCACACATCGCCTGGCTCTCACCTGCAGCCTGGGGGGGAAAGGGAGTGGAAGGTGGAGAGAGAAAACATCTCAGCTCGATCCGCCATCTTCAGCCAGAGAGGTGATGGACTGGAAGCGGATCATACACAGACACACCCTGGGGACAGGGAGGAAAGGACAGTCCACAGAACGGCGGCTCCGGCCACCAGATGAGATAAGACAAGGGACCGCAATCTAGCTCCCAGATTGCAGGGTGACCGTCCTGGGGACAGCGCCCAGTGACAGCCGCTTTGTAGAACAGTCAGAGCCTCTCCTACATGATCCTCTGTCAGGATCCTTACTGATCCTCTGGCTTCACGGCCAGTCCTTTCCCCTGGCCGCCTAGGAGGTTGGCTTGCTTCTCCGCCGATTGTGATGGCTTGCTGCGGCTTTGATGCAGTCACATCCAGGAGAGACTGCACAAGCTAGGAACCAATACACAGAATGGGGGAGGGGAGAGTGGGGAGAGGGGTGGGTGGTATGGATATAGGAAGTGCTTGGGAGAAAGGACGGCGAGCGAGCTCAGGCAAGGGTACGATACTCTACAATGCACTGCAGGCGGAGGAGCTGGGAGCTGTCCAGCCCATGGTGCTGAAACTGCTGCGCATTACACGGCCGGCCGAACGGAGCCACACGTATGCTACCAGCAAATGGCTCTTCCCTGCGCCACCATCACACAAAAACAGGACTGGCAGCAGGCTTTCATTCAATCACACTGACGTCACCTTGATTATTAAATCCCCATAATGATTAATCGCACATCCTGGGATTGTTGTGGTTCTTAGATTAAAACACACTAATGTAGGTCATCAAGCAGCTGTGCACTGGAATGGATTGGACATTTCTAGCTCTGTACTGGTAGACATTAGTAACTGGGAGGTTTTTTTCATATGCCCATTGTGTGCTATAATGCAAATGCAGGACAGATGATGTCTTGTTATGCTGAGACTCCATATAATGTAAAGTCCCCGCTCACACCGAGGGTTTTTGTATCTCCAAACTCGGAGCTATAAAACACCAGGCACATGGAATCCCATTGTTTCCTATGGCTCCTGTTCACACCTGAGCGTTCTGTCGCTTGTAGCAAAACGCCTGTCGCTGGAAAAAGTACATGAGCATCTTTTCTGCAGATTTGTATGATTTTGGCCCCATAGATTGTATTGTGATTGTAATGTCTTCCTTTATATAGCACTGCACAAACTGTTGGCGCTATATAAATCCGGTATTATAATAATAATAATAGATTTAAATAGAAACACATGACAAAAGCTTTTTCATGGTTTTTTTTAGCGTTTTCTTGCACTGGGGAACAAAATGGAGGACAGCAGAAGCTGAAAAATGTGCGACAAAACACTTGACAAACGCACATCAACGCACATAAAAATGCTCAAAAAAGCCTGAAAAACGCTTGAAACACTGACACTTAGCTGTGAATAGATCCAAAAGGAGAAACAAAACATGCAATCAGGCCCCAAAAAAAGCTCCTGGACGTCTTTGCCGTGACAAGCAGCAGCACAGCTCTCAGGCCTGGTGCAGACCTGAGCAATCCGGGATCGTGCGTCCCGGAACAGCACAGTCCTGCAAAATTGAAGACAGCGATTGCCATGTGGCCCCATTGATTTCAATGGGGTTACATATGCACGACAATCGCAGAAAAAGGTACATGTGCCTGTTTTTGCGGCACACTACGCACGGCTGTTTTAGGATGCACTGGCTGAAATCGCAGCGGGAAACTGCACAATCTGCCTGGCGCAACTGTGGTGCCATTAGAAAATAATGGTACCCACAGCGCGATTGCTTGAGATGGGCAATCCGCGTGGTATCGTGCATGATTGCCGCGTGGTCACAGATCGCCTAGGTGTGCACCGGCCTTCAAGTGTGAACAGCCACCATAGGATACAGTGGGAACCCTCATGTCTCACTTCTAGTTAATATCACCATATTGTACAATATACAGTCTATACTTACATGTATTATATAATCTATGCAGGGGCAGACTGGATGGTGGTAGACCCAGGGTAACCATAAGTAGTAATGATGAAGGCAACTAAACCTTGTAAGCTTTGCAACACAATTAAAACACACTAATTAGTGGCACAACAATAGCCATAGTAGAAGGGGGTACCATTAGGGTGGATGATTTAAAAAATATATATATATTGGGCTTTTGTTATTTTACTAGTTTAGGTGTAAAGATACCCCTGGTCTCTACACCTGAGTGCTCAGATCTGATATTAAAGATGGCTTCTGATTATTTGATATAATAGGAAATGCAGACAGAGGACTGGGGCTCCTTCTGCTGTAGCAGGGTATGTAAGGTATGATGGTGGGAATCCCTAGTGAGACCCAACCGCACACATCCCTAGTGAGACCCAAACGCATCCCTGGTGAGACCTGCACGCATCCCTGGTGACACCCAAACGCAGTCATGGTGAGATTTGCACGCAGCCCTGGTAAGGCCCAAACGCAGCCCTGGTGCGATCTGCATGCACCCCTGTATAATTGCTGTGTAATCATGGATTGATGAGATCTGCAGTCCTCTATAGATAGTTGCCATTCTCCATTGCTGTAAAATTAATGATTATACAGCAATAGAGAATGGCAACTGGCTATAGAAGGCTACAAACCTCCATGATTGCTGGTTGCCATTCTCCATGGTGGGGAGGGAGGCATATTGAGGAACCTGGCCTTGGGGCAGCAGAGAGTAAATTCGGCCCTGTGTAGTACGGAACAGGACTCTGTGATATACAACAGAGCTTACAGAGCACAGTGGACTGGAGAATGTAACATAGTGCCTTTTACATTTCTGGTCAGTGGGAGGAAGAATTTTGCTGGCGTTGATGGTCAGAGGGAGGAGAAAAACACTTCAGCATTGGAAACCTCAATATTGGTGGCCAGTGCCCCAGGTGATGTTTCTAATTTGTGAGAGCAAAAATGAATGCCCCAGTGTTGACAGTCAGTGGGAGTAAAAAAAAGCCTAATCATTGCTGTTAGTGGAAGCAATGCCCCAGCATTGGTGTCTGTAGGTTGAGTAAGAGCCCTAGCTAGCTCCTTTTGCGCCCGAGGCAAGAACAGAAAATTGTGCTCCCCAACAGGCCTGTGCGTTATGTGACGTCATGCGCCCGACTCCAGGATGGCGGCGCGCATGCGTGGAATGCGTTGGTGGCCAAATCCAAAAGAGCATAAAAATTTGTGTAGTTTGACGAAAGTAATGAAACACATTTTTAGTCTTTGCACAAGTCTAGTAATATGTGTGTGTGGGGGGTTGTTTCTTTTTTAATGTATTTTTTATTATTATTATTTTTTTGTACTGTTGGGGGGCTTTCGGGAAAATATTTAGGGTCTAAGCAGATCCCTGACATTTGCCTTATGAAATAGAAAAAGAGATTGAGGGACACAAAGTCCTCGGCCCATACAGGCGAGGATCCGAGGAGAAGCTGGAGCCTGTGCCGCTCCTTTTCTTGGCATAGGGTGCCATTCCTGAGCAGTGTCTGATTAACCCCCTCCCCCCCCCCCCCCCAGCATTCTTTTGAAATAAATCCCCCAAGTATTAGTGTCACCGGGACAACTAAGTCCCCTGCACTGTTGTCAGTTGTCCTCTGTCCCCTTATTTGCCTGTGCTTGATGGATGTTTTAAAAAAACAGTGTTTTTATGAATGTTGAAATTAACTGATCATATTTTCACAGTGATTTATTTTAAAAAATGCAGCATATTCAATAGAGATAGAATTACCTTGCTCCAAGACATGATAAAGTATATTTTGGATAGAATAGGGATGTACGTATCTTTAAGTCTTGATTGTCTTATAGACAGTAGGTTTTCACACACATCAATCTGAACAAAGCTACCAAAGACAGTCTTGATTTGTTGTAGTTTAGAGCAAAATCATGTGCAGAATGTATAATGATAGAATAGTAAAAGTTTATGTTATACACCTTATGGTGCTGCCATCATTACTGGCCCTAGTACACACTTTTGAGATGTCATTGGCAAAAAAATAAATAAAATAATATTTTAAGCGATAATCAGCATGGATTCACAAAGGACAGTTGTCAAAAATATCAACTTTCCTTTCATTAGGAAGTAAACAAAAACCTAGGGGGTTATTCACAAAGCTGCCGAAGGATCTAGTCGTAGCTTTGGCTGATCCTTCGGCTAGCTTTGGCCCCAGGACCCCTTTGGTTCAGTAGAACCGAAGGGCTGCTGTACGGGCTATTCACTATAGCCAGTACAGCTCCCGAAGCTGGCCGAGGGGCTCAGTCGAGCTGAAGGCATATGCTTCGGCTCGATTGAGCCCAGGTGAAAGTCGAAGCTGGCCGAACGGCTGACCATTGGCCGGCCGACAGCCTGCTACTGACTGCTGGGCTCCGGCCACTTGCACAGACAGTGTCATTACTCTCCCAGACGCTCCAGGAGTCTCCCGCTATTACATAGCGGCTCCCGGCCGCCCGGGAGTGAAACACTTCCTCCCGGAAAGGTTTACTCTGCTGCAGAGTAAACCTTTCCCTACTCTGTTTTTTATTTTTTTTCTTCTGACATCGGAGCCGCCGGCCGCTGTCGGCCAGAAAGAAAAAACAGCATAGGAATGCATAGCTACATTCCTATTGGCTATTTCAATTTGCAATAGCCAATAGGAAACTAGCTATTGCACCCGCCCACTGCTGCTGTCAATCAGCAGAGGGGACCTGAAGTACTCCATCAGGTCCCCTTCTAGTGATTGACAGCAGCAGAGGGCGGGTGCAATAGCCAGCTTGCTATTGGATATTGCAAATTGAAATAGCCGATAGGAATCTAGCTATGCATTCCTATGGGGATTTTTTTTTTTTTATTATTCTGGCGGCAGCAGAACCGCCGGGTTCTCAGTGTAATGACTGATCAGTGTCCCTGGTTAACGGGTAACCAGGGACACTGTTCTATCATTAGGATGAGAGCTTAGCAGAGCCGGCTTTCATATCACCCCCGGTTCTGACAAGCTCTCATTGTAATGACAGCTGGTCCCGGCCAAAAGATTAGCTGAACTGAATTTGTTCTCCTTTAGAAGAGGCGATTAAGGGGAGATATGATAACCATGTATAACTACATAAACAGTCCATATAGTGAACTGCAAAGTAATAACCCCAAAGATTGTTGATCCAGAAAAGATTCAATTGTCT